CAAACCATGTGGTGCTTGCCAGGCCAGGCTGAAGCCAGAGTGGCAAGCAGCAGTGTTACAGGGAACAGTACGGGGGACACAGAAAGTGGTGGCAGCATGAGGAGAAAGAAGGCTTTAGGGAGCAATGGGGGGACTATGGAAAATGGCAATGGGAGAACTGGCAGGGGGAGCAGCAGCGGACACAGAAAGTGGTGTCAGGGGGAGTGGCAGCTGTGATGAGCAGCCATGCACTAGAGAAAGCAGGGAAGCAGTGGAAGAGTGGCACTGCCAGATGGTAGCGCAGAGTCCCTGCTGGTACCCTAGGGCCAGCGGGGACCCAGGGTGGAGTGGCAGGAGCACAGAGCCTGGGCATGGGGCCTGCCTGGCTGCATTGTGTGAGGCACACACGCAATCTACGAAAGCCACATGCAATAGAGATGGTGGCCCAGCCCCATCTTTCTCTTTCTCTCCCATCCCACCCACCCTGAACCCTGCACCGTCCCACAGCCCAGACCTCAACCACATACCCCACACCCCTCCACACATACACCCTTACCACCCACACACAATATACAGTAGGACTGTATTTTTATGCAGTCACATCTAGATACACTTTGCAAATTCATAAATCAGTACAAAAATATTTTTAAATAAAATTAAAATAAGTTATAGTAGATTTTTATTTTTTGAACTCAATTTGGGGTTTTTTTCCTGTTTCAAGATTGCAGCGTCCTCCCTCCCAAACGAAGTACTTCTGTGACAAGGGTGGAGACTTTCTGTAGCAAAAGTCAGGGGTTGGGATGGGACTTCTGGTCCCAATATGGAGGCTGGGGACAGGGTTACTCATTTGGCCCTGGACAGTTCACAAAACAAAAACCCCACTCTAAGGACGTAGGCAGGCAAGGTTCTTTGGTTAAATCTGATATCTTTTATTAGACCAACTGAAAAAGCTGGAAAAATTCTTCTTTGCAAGTTTTCAGGTACAAATACCCTTCATCAGGCTGAGGAAGTGTCTGCAGTTGGTCTGTGCTCTTCCTGGATGGAATAGAATAGAAGCCAGAGGCCAGTATGCAAGACTGCCAGTCAGTGAAAATGCAAATTGAGGCAGTCAATGGGTAAGAAACAGGTGGGGGGCAGGGAAAGGGGAATGTAGACCTGATGATAAGAATATAGGTGGTAAATAGTAGAGAGGTTTCCTGGGGTATCAAATGTTAGGCCAGTTCTGATGTGTCATAAATCCAATGTCTATATTTAGTCCATGATTTTTTGTATCCAGTGGGTTGATGAAGTGAAGTTCATAGGCTCATGTTTTATGAGTTCCCTTTGAGGATTAAAACTGAGAGATTGGAGAGAGAGTGGTTTTCTGGTGAGAAAAGTGCCCCCACAAGTAATTGGGTATTCTTGTCTTTGATAGATTTTCAGTAGGTGTTTATTCTGGTGCACAATTTTTGTTTGGTTTCTCCTACATATTTTCCATGAGGGCATTTGGTGCACTGGATGAGATGTATTACATTTCTGGAGGGGCAGGTGTAAGATCCAGGAATGCTGATGGTTCTGTTGTGTGGTGTAGTTATTGTGCGGGTGGTGGAGATATATTGGTAGGTTTTACATTTCTTGTCATGGCATGGTCTAGATCCATTTGGTATGTTTTGGGCCATAGGAAGTTTGCTTCCGGTGGTAAGACTGGCAAGGTTCAATGCTTATTTAAAGGAGGGTGTTTGTACCTGAAAGCTTGCAAAGAATTTTTCCAACTATTTTAGTTGGTCTAATAAGAGATATCGGACTTACCCAAAGAACCTTGCCTACCTATTACCCTCATAGTTCCTATATTTGGCTCATGGCTATGATGACATGTGAAGATTTCATGTTAAAATTGAATCAACTGTTTTAACAGAAACCCAGAGGGTTTAATGATAAGGTCTGTCAACATACATGTCACTAATATACATCCCAGGTTAGGTAAAGAACATATCATAGGTATGTTGAAGAAGTTCCTATCTATGAGTTAACAAGTGTCATTGGAATGTGCCGAGTAAATTTTCACATGTCAATGTTATGATCAGCCAAATAAATTGTTAGAGTGAAAGAACATAGATGACCTTGGTGATGTGAAATCGGCTCTAAATTATGCTGGGCATGGGGTCAACAGAAATCCAGTCTCAGCTTTAGGGAACTACAAAGGGTTGCATATTTGTGCTGATGCCTCACTCAGCTACATACAGCACTTACTGAGCAGAGATGAGGAATTTTGTCAACTTATTACATAAGAGTTAAGATAGTGTATTTAAAGGGCAAGGGGTGAGAAAAAACAGCTGAACAGGGGGCAGTGTAGTTTGTCCCTTGTGCATACATGTGCTGTACTGATGTTATTGGTTCTTTTTTTAATGCTGGGAATGTGATTAAATCAGGAAACAGATTGCACCATGATGCAGTTAGTTGTGGAAGGCAAGCTAAAATAAGTCATAATTAGGTACATTTCATAAATAAATATTATATCCAAAGAACACACATAGCTTTTGGGCAAATAACAGGAATAGATTCATTATGCTAATCAGTCACCAGAGCCTCACATGATTATACCCCACTAGCCAGTTTCTCTAATTCTAAATCTCCCCGGTCCAAACAGTTTGTGCTTTGGGATGGTTAAACTGAGGAAAATATCCAAGCATTTCTCATACGTATCTAGGCTGTCATCTATGGCCGTGTATGGGAAAAACTGAAGCATCCCACTTTTAAGCATCCTTTAAATGTTGTCTGAATGACAACTTTTAAGTCTCAGGCTCTTATTAAAACTTCAATGACAGAGAAACCTGTTCTGCCACAAACAAGAACATTTGGTCATTAGTTTGTTTCTGTAAGGTAGAATTTCACTTCAACTTAGCATTTCACCTCATCCTAGACACTTTAAAAGTCAGAAACTCACATTTCATACCAATAGTCATTGTCACTATATTTAGCAAAAGGTCTCTTCAGCTTCCAAAGTCAGGGGTTTTTTCTCAGCGCAGGGTTGGATTATTAAATTGATGCTGTAGTTGACCAAATATAATATCAGCTTCTAAAAATGTCTGACACTTGAAAATGGCAGGGTCACCAGTATTCAGAATTGCCAGCATGTTTTCCTTTTTCTCCCAGACAGACTATCTGTGCAACACCAAAACTTCCAAATCAGCTGGGTAGCAAAAAAAAAAAGAACAGGTCACGGTTATGTGAAAAAGGGTCCTCATAAAATTTGGCTTGAGGATCTGGGTGGGATGTCCAATACTTAGCTTCTTAGAAAGCTGCCTCAGGGGTCCAGGATTGAAAATACAGTTTGGATTGGAAAGCCGTAGTCAATTGTTTTCAGGTTAGAGAACATTAGTTTAGAGTCAAGGCAGAACAGTTGTTTAGTATGTAGTCCATCTAATAAACCCTTAAAGCCAGAAATACTGCAGAGAGCTTATTTTTTCCTGCTATCTTATTCCAGAGACAGGGAAGAGACAAAGGGAATGATTCTTATTGTATTTCCTGAATACAAGCCAACTTTGAATTTAAGATGATCCCCCCAGTGATTAGATTTTAAATATGGAAAATTATAATTTAATATAATCTAGAATCTAATTATAGGAAGGTTGTCTTAAATTCAACCCCCACTGCCACAGTAGGGAAAGCAGTAGTGATGGGGGCAGGCTGTGCAGAGGCAAGTAGCCTGACTTCCCACTGCTTTTCCCCCTTCCCCTGCTCCCCCACTTTTGTCCCCCTACTGCCTGCTCCACTGGTGTCTGCGCACTTTGATGCCTGCCCCAGCTTTCCTATGTAGTCTCACTCCTTGATGCCTCCCACTGCTGCCCTGGCCCAGCCACATAGCAGCCGTTGTATCAGCAGCAGCTTCAGACACCGGGGCTGGAGTTGCAACTGCTGGTAAGTAGCAGAGAGCAAAGGATAAAAGGGGATGTAGGTTGGGGAGACCCATGGGGTGGGGAGGTGGCTGCTGCAGCTCTGATTCAGGTCCCGAGCTCAGGCCAATCCCAGAATCTAAGTAACAGCAACTACCTGCCTCTCCCACTCCACTTTGTACCTGAATCTAAGACTAGGGTCTTTTTTCCCAAATTGAATGGGGGACAAAACTTTGTCTTGGATGCAAGTAAATATGGCAGTTGGCATAAATTGGTGGTGTCCTATGAAAGTCAATTTGCTAGCTCAGCTTTGGGCCAGGGAAGGCTCGGACTCATGAGTTCTGTTTTTGCAAATTCACTTGTGATGCTTTTAGAACTACATCTACAAGTCTGAGTAGCACAGGACACTTGTATGAAAAGATCTCAGTGCAGGATTAATGCATGCCTTTCGTTTCTAAAGCATTGTAGCCTACACCTTGTAAATAGAAGGAAAATGCTAAAATTTACTCCCCTGAGTACTCCCATTGACTTCAACACAATAACTTCAGTAAAATAACAGCGTTTTACCTGAATAAAATAAAATGTACATTTGCAAGATCTGACCCTAAATATATATTTACTGAGAAGCTTCCCAAGTGCAACTTGTATCTGGTTTTCTTTCTCTTCCTCTCTTTCCTTATCTTTGTACATTTTGCATTACCTTTATTTTTTCTTTCCCACTGTCTTCTTCACCCTGAATCTCTCTATACCTAATCTTAGTTCCCTTTCCCAGTAGCCCTTCTTCTCCGTCCTCTGTTCCAGTTTGTCTGTTGTTCGTGCTCTTTTTTTCTTTCCCCAGCTTGCCACTTCAACTCCCCCATATTTTGTTACGGTTCCCTCCTCCCCAAATATTCAAATAGAAACACCCGCAGTATATACCCCACCCCGGTTATATTTGGTAGCATAAACAGCCTTTCCTCTGACTGATGAGGAAAAGGGTTATGTGAGGAGAAAAATAATCCAAAATTGCATGGCGTGAAGCCTTAGGAAGCAGTAGAAGATGTGTATACTTTTTGACAATATTTTTGTGGGAGTGAACAAGAGCTCATATTCCCATGCTTAGGGCCACCTGCTACAAAAACAAAATCCCACTTATATTTGTTTTGGCAGCACAAGAGGGAGACACTGAAGATGACAAAATATGTGGAGCTTGTTATTGTGGCAGACAATCGAGAGGTAAGAAAGCTTTAAAGAAAAGATGTAGTTGGTACAGGGAGAATTGGTGGGCTGTTTACTTCAGTCTCGTGACACTGCAAATAACGTTATGTGCTTGAGAGAACAGTATCGTGAATTGCAGAAACAGCAATTTTTCTCTAACTAGGGCTCAAGTACTGAAAAGGACTATTAAAAATAGTGCAAGTGTGATAGGAATTTGTGCAAAAGCTAGAACTGTCCTTGCAACACTTTAAAAGGAATTTAGTATTCACAAACATCTGGGACCTCTTGTGGTAATTAAACCAAAGGCTCATAAGAATTCACTTATTATGACCCAGTAATGTGGCTGAGCCTTCATTGCACTCTTTAACTTGGGCCACAAGAGACTGTCACTGTATAGAATAAACTGCAGAATTTAGGGCTTTTTGGCTGCAGTTTGCCAATTATACTGAATTAAACAAGACTGTATGCACTGTTGAGAATTTGGAAATAAAGCTTCCAAACAAATAAATGAGACAGATTGTTGAAAAGATCCCAGTGGGTTGTAGGGAAAACCAGAGATGTGAAACCTCCCTTTGAGTTATTTTCCAATTTTCATTTTTTTCTTTGAAAACATGACAGGCTTTGACTCCTGAAAACTGCTAGTTAAGTACCAGAAATCACTTTCTTGCTATACTGGAGACAGCTGAAAGGATAATTTTTTTCCTTTTCACAGTAAAATTGGTCCAGGGAGATTGGAGTGGGATTTTAGCTTTTTTCTGTGAAAACAAAATCCCATCATACCATTTGTGTTCCTTCCTGGTCCCAGGAAAGTCAAGAGGAGGTTTCCTTTAGCCCTTCATGCTTGTAAACCACAAATGTCAAGGATCGTGCCAATCTGGCAGCAGATTGTGACTTTTTGGAAGTACATCCATCTTACAATACCAGTGCTGATAGTAATGTTTTACTCTTTTGTGTTTTAAGTTTCAGAGACAGGGCAAGAACGTGGAGAAAGTTAAACAGAGGCTGATAGAAATTGCAAACCATGTTGATAAGGTAAAAACATTAGAGTTTTTTTCACTTTCTCAAGCACCACTACTATTTCTGTTGCTATGAAATCTCTTCCTAGCTGGACCTATTCGAAGGAAAAGCCCAGGAAAAGTTAAAAGATTGCTATACTCCATATCCACAATGATAGAACAAGAAATAGATCTTCTCAGTTAAAAAGTGCCAGGCAGTAGGAATGATAAAGCGGGAATTTCCAGCATTCCTAAACTTTCATTAGGAATTTCATTAAGACAACCAGGAATCAATTTTTGTGTTCTGTGGATGGGGTGGCCTAGGGTCTAAATGATGGATATGTTAATGCACTCAAGTATCTATCTAGTCCTGATGAATTTCTCCCTAAGTGCCAGAGAAGAATCATAGAATTAGCTTAGGCAAAGATCTTTACTTTGGTGATGGCTATTGCAGTGCCTGGAGCAAAGGCAGAGTTCTGTGAAGGTTTGAAGGTAATTTAATTTAATGTGGTTTCATTGAAATATACAGTATACAACAGGATCTTTTAGTATGAAAGTCACTGTATGATAATCAGTTTTGTTAACAGAGGCCCTCCTTGGTCACAAAGCACCAACTATGTAGAGCAGGATTAAAGCTTACTGTATTATAACTAAAAATCTAGGAGTCCAGGAGCAAAACTGTAATTACAAGAATTTAATTTAACTCAGAATTTATCAACTGATACGTCAAAGACTCTTAACTCAAGGACAGCCAATTCTTGATTAAAAACAAGCTGCTAAACAGAGCTGTTCTTCTGTAATTGTCTTGCTGACTTACTGAAGGAGAGAAGGTGCTTATTTGCTACCTGTTTGAAACTAATTTGGCACGTTATAATCTATTTATGTTTTGTGCTTCAGTTTACGCTCTCAGCAAATTGCAGTGTTATCCAAATGACTGTATTGACAATGCTATCCAATGACTGCAGACAAACGAGACAGAGATCTAGTATATATACCCAGTTTTGTTTGGTCTGTAAGCCACATACTTGCTTTAAAAGCCCCTAACCTACTTAACACTGATTTTCTTAAAATTTGCTACCACTGTTGCAACTCTACCAACTGTAACAACCCTGGATTTCAAGTATAAATTGAAATTCACCAGTATTAAAACCACTTTACCATCTAGACCAGCTGGGATCTGTGTTACGTGGCTCAATGGGTAAAATGTAAATGTTCCCTCATTTTAACCTGCACTGCTGGTAGCAGGAGTAGGAATTTTTTAGGCATTGTCACATGAATTAGCTTGTCTTGGAAATTTGTTAGGTGTAGGGATGGTGGCACTGTTGTATGTAGGAAAAAAGTATCAAACTTGAACAGGTTTCACTCTTTAACGCTCACCTGCTGAATCATTTAAACTATTTCTCTGGAACATTTCATGGATAGTTAGTTAAGGCCAGATATCCTAGTGTTTTCTCAATGTCATGACAGTGTTATATCTGATGTTGGTCTTTTCAGATGGGGAAGTGCATTTAGTTTTCCTGTTTCACTCAAAGAAGAGAGGCTTTTTAAGAGAATGAAATAAACTGCATGTGACCTTTCCTGAAAGTTTCTAAGTCACTAATCTAACATACTAATCAAAATGTCTTGAATAAAGATGAATTTGTTTTCTTTGCTAGTTCTACAGGCCATTAAATATTCGAGTAGCTCTGGTTGGCGTGGAGGTGTGGAATGACATGGATAAGTGCTCTATAACGCAAGACCCCTTCACAAGTCTCCATGAGTTTCTGGACTGGAGAAAGCTAAAACTACTACCTCGTAAACCCCATGACAATGCACAGTTAGTAAGGTATGGCAGCCAGTAGTGTATTTAATAGTTCCATGGTAATTTGGCTGAGATATCTATGAACTGAGAATAATTGTGCCAACTGTAATAACAGCAGGCCTGAGAGATAACAACTGTCTGTGCCCTGGTGGCAGGGGACAAACCAGCCATAGCAGCTGACGTGGCAGCGGCTGCAGCTGTCAGTCCTGTGCCCCCTCTAAATGGACACCTGGGGTTCCTGTCCTGATCACCTACCACTCATTATGGTACTGCCAAATGCAGTTATTTATTTTGCTGTTAAAAACGATGGGGGAGGAGGGGACACGACTGTATTTGTTTCTGAGACTGAAATACTGTTCTCTGTCTTTCATTTCCATAACATAAAAACTTGGCTGGGCTCTGCATTAGTATGCTCAGGCACCCTTTTCCTGCCCCAGTTCTGCAACTACCTCTTAGTCATGGACCATCTCAGAATTGTGCCATGGGTGCAGTCCTGCCTTTATATGAGCACATGCTTAGCATTAAGCCCATAAGTAATCCTGTTAAAGTTAATAGGCCTGCTCACATGCTCAAAATAAATTGTGTATAAATGTTATAACGTATAAATGCCTAATTTTCTCAGTTCCAATAGAGACAAGGGCTTAATCCAAAGCCCATTAAGTCAATAGAAATATTCCCATTAACTTCAGTGACATTTGAGTTAGAATCTAGATTGAAAACATTAAATGCAGTTTAATTTATGACTTAATTTGAAATCAGTATCTGTACAGCTTAGCCTGATTTTTCAAATGATGATTGTTTACTAGTTTAAAATAATTATGAGTAAATATATATTAGCTTAATGCAAGAATACATTTTTAATACACATTTTCCTGAATGGCATTATGATCAATGAAAGAGTTTTAAGCACCTGTGTATATAAAATTGAATCAAACGTTCACTATGCAGCATCTCTAAGCAATTACAAATAATTCTGGTGAGCTACTTGGCATCATATTAAGTACAGAATGAGGCCTTCCAAATTGTTTTTAGTCAGTAGTTACCCTGTAAAAATAATACTTCAGTTGGATTAACAACGTTTTAGGGTTCATTTTATGGCTTATGTACTGTAAACTTGCACTGCACTGTATTACCACTTACTTGAGTTACAGGCAGGTTTATATTTGTATTTATATTCCCCAAGTCATATTGAAATGCCAGTTTTCAATTGCTGGCATCATGGCAATATACTGCATACCAAAGAAAAAAGCAAGAAAGAAAAAAGAGGGAGAGAAATCCTGCTACTGCAGAAACGCCAGAGGACACTGATCAAATGCATCTTTCAAGTAGCAGGGATTCTGTCATTTTCAATACAGCACATCTGCATGATTAGTCTCTGCTTTCCATTGTTTTCAACTTTCAGATATGTTGCGTTGACACTTTTGAAAATAGGATCATTGGCTGAGACTGGCAGCAAAGACAAGTTGTAAAATATTCAGATGCTCTCACTTTATGTTAAATGGTGGTTCTGTGGCTTGTCTCTTCTCCCTTCTCCCTCCTCCCTCAGTGGGGTGTACTTCCAAGGGACAACCATTGGCATGGCACCCATAATGAGCATGTGCACTGCAGAGCAGTCTGGAGGTGTTGTTATGGTAAGTAGCAGGAGCTGGAAACTTGAAACTAGTCCATCAATTGCTGAAAATGTTCATATATTATCCTGTAGTATTTCTTAGAGGAAATTCTGCTTTATTAGTATTTAACATCTAAAGTCTTGCTTTGTCAAGATCTACATACAGTTTATGTTTGAAAATGTTTTGTAAAGCAGTTTCCATAGTGAATTAAATACAATTTTAGATTTAAAAAAAAAGGAGTACAGCCTGGCTACAGGAATCCTCAAAGTGAATGGAACCAATTTCAGACTTAAAATTAAACCATGCACATAAGTGTTGGTAGAATCAGGACCAAAATGAATGTGATATGTGTGTGAGCACGCATGCATATATATCTGTGGTGTGTACATTGAAGATGTTTCTCAGGAATTTTTAATAATGATTTTAAAATACTGTGCATAAAAGTATGCATTTACACAATCTCTAGTATAAGAGTTTATTTTTAGTGGAGGGGTTCATTAGATTGTCAGACTATAAGCACAATATATATACAAGCAACAGCAGCAGCATTTCCACTAACCACATCTTTCTCACAAAGGATATTATGATTGCTTTCATTGTTAGTTAGCTTCCCGCCACATAATGAGTACATGTTCTGTACATGTGTGGAACATTTTGGCCTTTATCAGAACATGCCATGGTCAGAGATGGTTGCAAGTCAGAATTTACTTTCCAGGAGAAATTCCAAAATTCTGAAAAATACATAAATAAAATGTGTTACATTTCTGAATTAGATGTATAAGAAGGATACAGCTGAAGATTTCTTGTGGAAGGGAAAAAGGTTTGAAATTTTAAAACATCTCATTTTTAAGTGAGCTTGAGTGTGGAGGCTGTTGTCTCAGCTGAGGCTCCCAAAGCTTCTAGGTTCCTGGATCCCCATCAGCTCCAGCAGACTGAGAAGGAGCCCAAAGCCTAGAGGTTTGGTGAGCTAGGAAACCCAGAGTCAGGAATCTCAGAGCTTGGGAGCCTTTAATTACTAAGAATGCCCAGGATTTTGCAGTCTTCATGATTAGGCAGGAGCCACAGAGCCTTGAGGACCCCATCTTCTTGCCCCGAGCTAGGTGCCAAGCTCTAGATGGAAGCAGGATTTCTAGGGTTTGCAGACTACTAGTTCTGCAGCAGGGCACTGGGACACCATGAATTTCCCAAAGTTCTGCAGACTTTTGGCTCCACAGCAGATTGTGAGAGCCTTGGGTTTGAACCAACATGTCCTTGCCCAATTTTAGGTCAGGGAATGGGGAATAGGGGTGGGCCTTCCTGAACCCCATTTTACCCTCTCCATTAGGTGCAACCCCTATTTGGCCTGCTTCTGTAGATGCTGCCTAATTGGAATCTCTAGCTGTGAATCAGAGAATCATAGAAAATTAGGGTTGGAAAGGAACTCAGGAGGTCAGCTAGTGCAACCCCCTACTCAAAGCAAGACTGTTCCCAACTAGATCATCCCACCCAATGCTTGGTCTAGCCAGGTCCTAAAAAACTCCAAAGATGGAGCTTCCACCACCTCTCTGGGTAACCTGTTCCAGTGCTTTACTACCCTCCGAGTGAGAAAGTTCTTCCTAATATCTAACATAAACTTCCCTTGCTGCAACTTGAGACCATTGCTCCTTGTTCTGTCATCTGTCACCACTGAGAACAGTCCAGCTCCATCCTCTTTGGAACCGCCCTTCAGGTAGTTGAAGGTTGCTGTGGCCCCCTCAGTCTTCTCTTCTCAGACTAAATAAGGGACTAAATAAGTGATTCCTTCTCCCAGAGCTGGGCGTGGTGCATCTTTGCAGCTGGGAGCCTGGTCAGCTGCTGGGGCCCCTGCCACAGGGAAGACCCTGTCACATGTGCAAATTAAAGCTGAGTAGCAACCAGCTATAAAGTTTGAAGTACTCAGCATGTGTAGCTGTTCTCAGTTAACTATGCATTTAACCAGGCAACTGCACAATACCCATAACATGAAGAGGGGGCCATAGTTGCATGAAAATCTGTGGTAGTGATTCTTGTTTTATTTAATGTAGTTCATATTGTTGTATCTGAATGGAAATTCAGGAATAAAAATATTTTTTCTTAAAATATGTTTAGACAATAATATTAATTGTTGTAAATTATCTTAAGAGTTCACCCATAAGCTTATGAAACTGAAGGTAAAATGTTGCCTTCTCACTGATGCATCCTGTACTGACCTCATTCAGGCAAGACTGCTGTTGTCTTCAGTAGGTCCGCCTGAGTGAGGGCTCCAGAACTGAGCCACTGAGATATTATTTTTTAACTTAGAAACACCTCAGTGAGAAGCACTTCTTCATTAATTTGGGTCCCAGCTGAATGAGTACCCCTAGAGCTTTCCAGATTTGAGGCTTTAGCATATTACAGTGTTCATCTAAGTTATTTTATTCTTATGGTTTGAACTGAATCTCTGTGGAATGAGGCAGGGTTCATCTGAAAGCAGCTGCATATTTTGTAAAACAGCCCATAAATGCGTTTGGCAGTGGATGATTTCCTGTTCGACAATTGTAAAACTGTTTGCTAATGACTTTTACTACTGAACTTAGCTTTAAAAAGTAGAGGGATAAATCAGAGCTTCATTTCGCATAAGTCTATTCATTCCTCTAGTGCTGCAGAGCTTAAATAGCCTTGCTATCAACTGGACATGTTACTGTTTGTTTTGATTGTCTGCATTTATACTGTCTTCAAATAACCTCTTTTGCTGAGCCATCACATTCCTTGTTTTTAAAAACCCACTCAAGAAACCTGATAAAACAGCATTCAAAGTGATCCAAGCAAGTAATGAGAACCGCATGTGTTGTAATAATTGTTTGTCTGTTAAAGACCAAAATTATGTTTCAGATCATTTATTGCTCTACTTTTGCAGTAGACTGTATGAATTCTTATCTTTTTAAAATATATCATCTTGGTAAATGTCAAAATATCAAGAAGATCTCACTGTTTGTCTATGCATTGTGAAAAGAAATGGTATGCAGCATAAAAAATAAGAAGTTGGGCTCAATTTATTCTCTCTTTGAATAGTTCAAGCTGAAGAAAACCCCATCTTGACCACATCTGAAAATTAATGTGGTTGTTACAGATCCCTAACTGGAAAGCATAATTTGTGCTTTCCAGTGAAATAGGTGAATATTACATCATTTCCCTCTTCTTCCCCAGTCTGGGATGCTGTTTGTTTGTTTGTTTTAGGGAGGTGTAGTTTGTAGGTAGGAGGTGTTCTCTCTATGAAGTCAGATTTAATTACAGAGTATGAACATGTGTTCAGTTCCAGCGGTGCAGATTTCCCAGAAACTTGCATTGCTGGATATCCTAGTGAAAGAGGAAGCATCCAGGCATTTCAGCCTGCAACAGTCCCTTCACTCCTATGGGCAAACTGGGGCTGAACTCTTAGCCCTGGCTGCTGTCCTGGGTCTCTGATGGCCCTGGGGAAATGCCCCTGTGCCTTCCTCTGACTGGGGTGACCCGAGTCTGTGGAAGGCATGGGAGGAGTCAAGCGGCGAAGATATGCCCCCACACCTTCCAGACCCCAGGGTGAGCCCAGTCTATGGAAGGTGCAAGGGCAGCGGCAGCAGCTCCAGTCCTCCTGGGAGGCATAGAGCTATGTTCTCCACCCTGGTTATCCAGACTGTGGAAGGAGCAGGTGACACATGGAGTCATTCAATTCAAGCTGGTATGAGAGAAGAGAGATCTTTTTGGTGGGAAGTGCTCTTATTTTCTTGTGGAAGAACCATTTGTCTTCTGCAAAAAAAAAATAACCGTGAATGACTGAATGCTCCTTTTTTGTGCCCAGAAGAAAGATGTTTTTCTCAGCACAAACGTAATGCCTGTCTGTGGCCATAGTTATTCATGAAATATTTGTGTAATTCAGCACATATAGCCATAGGGATAAATCAGACTAGATGTTAAGACATCTCAGTGTGCAACTAAGTGTCACAGAGGAGTATTTTTTTTTAAAAATCATTACAAATTACTTTCCTACATTTCTTCACCCTTCACTTCACTGTTAGAACAAGAGAAACCTTCAGTGCAGTTTCACATAGAACAGACATATTAAAATGCAGTTCTCCACACTCAGTCTCAAGCATAACTTGTATTTTAGCAAGAAAAAGTTTTACATTAAATATTGCGGCGTTCAGGAAAGCCTAAAGGAGACCATTTTCTGTTTTGAAGATAAAATTCCTTGAATTTATTCCAAATACCAAACGACAGTGGCCTTTTGCCTTCTGAAATTGATTGCATTCTCTTTTCAAATGTGTTTTCTACTTGAGAATTGATTTACTCAGAATATTAGCACAGCCGGCTGGAACAGGAAACTATAAAATCTACACCAAATAATGTATTAAGTGTTCCATTTAAGCAAAGGTAATGTTTTAGACAGTTTTACCTTTTTACTCTTTTTTTTTAGTTATGAGATTGGCTAAGATGATAACAGAGGAGGTATTTAAGGTGAATATATACATATATGCTTTTATGAATGGCAGTTGTACATAGTAATTCCATTTACTCACTGATAAACAGTGGATCATGCATTTATATTACATGTTTTATGCCTTTGGAAAAGCCTCTAAAAGAGAGAGATTTTTTCCTCAAATAATGTGATTGATTTGAAAAGGTCTTTTTTACTTGTGGTCAGGCCAAAGAATTAATCTGATCAGTAGCCCGTAATCAAACCGTGTGTTGAATTTCTCAGAAGCGTTTGTCCAGAAAAACATTTTCACGGGGTTCAATGCCAATATTTCTATTTTTGACATTTGCACAAAATAAGGCACTTAGAGGAGTTAACTAGAGGCCACCTGAAGACTTCGTCTTCTTTTTTTCTTTTTTTAACAAAAATGAAGCTGTCTAAGGTGGCTGTTTGATACCACAGCCATGTTAAGTTCTGTTTTAATGTTGTAATAGATGTTGCAGACAAAGAAAGAGCTCTTTGCTGTACTATGTGACTGATTTCTTTGTGTACAAAATTTTTTTGGCCACCTCATACCCTTCAGCTACAACCCTCCCCATCCCACAAAACTTGTATAAATCATGTTTTCTTGTTTACATGGCAGAAAAAGAATGGTTATAAATAATGTTAGACCAAAAATATGTGGCTAAGATTCAAAGCAACCTAAGAGATTTGAGTGCCTGATCACCACAGGGGAATTGGGTGCCCAGGCTCTGCAAGCTGTTTTGAAGATCTCATCCTAAGCAGGGGGAGGTTATTTTATAATGTGAAATACTGCACAGTGGCTGCAGTTATAACTAAGAAGTTTATAAAATGGTTTGGAATGTGAAGGTTGGATAGTTAGAAAGAGTGTATTCTTTTATCAGTCATTGGCTTCACTAAGTATATTTTTTGTTTTTTCTTTGTTTTGCTTTGTTTTTGAGGATCATTCAGAGAACCCTCTCGGTGCAGCAGTAACCTTGGCTCATGAACTGGGCCACAATTTTGGAATGAATCATGATACTCTGGAGAGAGGCTGTAACTGTAAAGCATCTACTGATAAAGGTGGCTGCATCATGCACCCCTCTACTGGGTAAGCATCAGCATTAGTGGGCATTACCTGGTGGTGGAGAAATGATGGGGGTTTGGTCTCTCCAGAACCTTTGGAGCAAAATGTTTATACAATCTATAGGCTACATAGGCTGTATCTGGACCACAAGGAGCTTTGTGGCCTGGATCAAGTGGTGGAGTGAGCAATGGTGGGGCAAGCAGTGGCACAACTGTTGACACAGCCATCCCTTGTCCCCACAGTGCCAACACATGTCCCAACCAGGGCTCCATATCTGGGAATTTGGCAGCAGGATCCACCCCTGACATTCCAGATGCCTCTGGGAGCCCTGTGGGCTGAGTGAAAAGACTCCACAAGGTGTATCTGGCCCTGGGGCCTAATCTTTGGCTCTGGTCAGATTAAACACAGTGCAGGCATTTGCATCAGCACTTTGCAAGTCTGGTATCATAAGGAGAAAAGGCCAGAATAAGGGCCATGGCAAAAATTAATATATAAGAAATAAAGAACCCTAGGAAATGAGGTGGTAGGCTCTCTGTAATGTCTGACTTGTGCAGATGGATGTGAAGGTTGCTGTGCCTTCATGCTGACCTACTGCCCTTTTGGATTGTAGCCATGCCAACAGGGAGCAAATCAGTAGGGCTGGGCGAAGCTTTGGTAGCCGATTTGATTCAGAGGAGATTTGGCCCAATTCAGGGATTGAATCCGAATCAAATCAGGAGACCAATTAAAAGCTCCAAATTGATTCAAAGCATCCAAATTGATTCGGAAAAGATTCAGTGATTCAGCCATAGACTAAACAGGCAGCTAACAGAGCTGCCTCCAGCTGGTAAGTCTGTTGGGGTTGGGGGAGAGGGGAGGGAAAAAGTGTGGCGGGGGGAGGGATTAGAGCTGGGGCTGGGCCAAGTGGCCAAGCTGGGGTGGGGCGCGGGACTCAGGGAGGGGGGTGGAGGGGCACAGAATGTGGGTGTGGCAGCAGTCAGAGCGGGCACTATGCCCTGCTGCCACTTGCCCAGCTGGGGTGGGGAGGCGGGATGAGGGAGGAGGAAGAGGGCAAGCAGCAGCAGGGCATAGACCCCACTCTGAGTGCTGTGGCACCCACATCCCATGCTCTCCCATGCCAGCTGGACAAATGGCAGCAGCGCCCACCTCCCTGGTCTGGCTGGCAA